CCCCCCCCCCCCCCCCCCCCCCCCTCCTTTCCCCGGGGCCCGCCGCTGCCCGCCATCTTGGTTGAGAGAGCGGCGCCAGGCAGTGCTGCGCGTCACGTGGCCGCGCAGCGCGCGAGCCGGGGGTGGGCGGGAGGAGCCGCGCCGTTGCGGCGGGCGGCTGTGGCTGGTGGCCCCGAGGCGAGGGGGACAAGCCCCGTGGGCTTGTTTTCCACAGCCAGCTTGGGGACGGCGAGCGTGCAAATAGCCGCGCAGCCCCCAGCCCCCGTCATCTCCTCGGCAGCCGGGGTGCTCGCCTCAGCCGGGTCTCGCTCCCCTGCACAGCCTCTGCTGGAAAGCCCCTGCCCTCCCTGAGGAGATCTTGGCTTCTGGCTCGGAAGGGGGGAAATAATGCGGTGGTCCGTCTTCCCTGGTGCTAAGTAGCAGCGTTTTTCGTGTGCAGGGCCCTTTGGGGTTCAGCGTCATCTAGACTGGGGGCATCCTGAGGCGTCAGTCAGGCTGGCCTCAGCAGCCGCGTGTCGATTAAAACTGCGGGTTTGGTGGCAGATGTGAAAAGATCGCTGGCCGTTTTGGAGACGGTCTCTCAAAGGACAAGCGTTGGGAACTGGAGGGGCCTCTTTTCGGCCTGCCTGCCATATCGGGAGGGCCAGGCTGCCCTGCCGCCCGTCCTTGCCAGCCGCCGTGGGAGTCTGCCCAGGAGGAGGTGCAGGGGGCCTGGCTGGCCTCCTCCAGCCTCTCGCTGCAGCTGCCCAACATCTCCCGTAGAAAGCATCGCGTTACTTTTGTGCTGTTCTCAATCTGTATTGACTTCCCAAAGTCACACCAGAATTACTAGTAGGAAGGAAAACTGTAAATTTATGGCTCCTATCTCCATTTTTTCTGATACGAAAAAAATCACCTCAGTTTCCATTTATTGGCATATGCAATAATCATGCATCAAGGTTAAAGACTGGCAAATACATACACATTGAATCTGATACATGGAGAATGAAACCATTGTGTATATAAATATTAATTGCTATAAATACATGCTCAAACACCATAGGGTATCGAGTGTGGTTAAGTGTGAGTATCTTACACTGGGATTTAAAACATTCACAAAATCACGTAATTATTCCCGCAGAGTGATGCTTAATGTACCACTGTGTGTAGTTTACATGCAGACAAAAGAAACCTCCACCAACAGAACTAATAAAACCCACGACGTATATGTGGTGTATGTCTTGTATGCGTTGCTCTCAAGAAATTCTGCAAGCTTCTAATGCATACTTTCATACGGCAAAGCCGTATAAAATTGAAATTGGGAGAATCGGGTCCTTGGTATCTGCTGAAGAAGAACAGGGGAGTTGAACAGGTCACTGTGATATTGGTGCTGTGGATTTCTGCTGTGTGTGTAACTGAGAGGAGGATTTTTTCCCGATTGCAGGAAAATCTCTGCAGTGCTTACTTGGGCACAGACATAAAAGGTCTCTTACGTCAGAATGCTACAGTGGCAAAAGTAACTGAAACTGTAATTTGCAGTGTTAGAAAGCCCATGGATTTATTAATCTCATGGTTTCTTCCCAACAAGGCCAGAATACATACATCCTGAGTTACTGCTGCATGTGTCCGTTTGGAACAGTAACAGCAGCCAACCCCTGCTGTCATGGCAATGTGGAAGTACTGTGTTATTCAGCACATGTTTTACTAGAGGGCAGCAGAGTTAGTGAATTCGCTGAAGATCATTTAGGTTTGATTTTCCCAGATTTTAAAAAGAGGGTTGGTAACATTTAGAAATCAATATATTTGTGTGTGCCAGCTCTATTTTTATTTTTTTTTTTACAACGCTACCTTGTGCAGGATTAGTGACTAGCCAGTTTGTGAAGGCAAGGTTAGTACTCTTGCACAGACAGTTGGAGCATGGGATTCCTGGGCAGACAATATGAATTGTTTGCCTGTGTCTGTAATACATTCCAGGCATGTAACGTGCTCAGAACACCCCCTCCCTGCCCGCTGCCAAGCTCCAGCTCCAGCTCCTAATCGTTTTGGAACCTGTGATACAATCGTGAGAGGTATCACTAGAAACATTTGTGATTTGGGGAGAAGACTTACAGTTTGTTGCCAAGGTGCTGACAAAGGAAGCAACATCTTTACAACAGCTGATTTAATAGTTCTCTGGTTGAGTTAAATCAAGTTCAGTCCCCAGCCTTCAAACACCCGTGTGCTTAAAGCTGTGCATTTGCAATTGCAAATGGACCCCGTTAATTCAATAGTTACTTCATTGTTCATTTCAGTGGGAAAGCTCACAGTAATGGAGGGTGTGCATGTGTTTAAGTATTCTGAAAAATTAAGTTTTGCTATGAAGCAAAACTGCTCCACCATTGGTTACAGCTATAGAAAAAATCTTTCTTTAAAGTTGCTGAAGAAAATTCATTGGTTCCTCAGAATCTTGATAGCCATTCCCCTCAGTATACATATTTTATCCCAATTCCATGTAATCCTTTGCTGGCAATGCAAGACTGTTAGGACTTGCTATTCCAAAGCCTTTATTGTACTATATAGACGGATCCTGGCCTTAATCATATCTCATTGAATGCAAATCCTGCAGACATGGGCAAGGAGCAGACTTTGGGCTATATAAATAGTCCCGACGTACGTTTTTCAGGGGATGGCAGTCTTTCTCCTGCAACGCATCAGAAAATCGTTTGCTGCATGTCTGCCAGAAGCCTCGCCTCCCTTATCAGACGAGAGTTGTTGGATGGGGCCTTTCTCCTTTCTCATAGGGAAGAACATGAGCAGAGCTTGCCATTATCACAAAAGATGAAGTCAAGTTCCCTGCATTTGGGGAAGTTGCAGGTGTCGGCACACCCAATGTGCAAGAGACAGTCCTTTCCCTGGGAGAAACACCTTTGTGAGCATGGTGCCTCACCTGTCAGGTGGCCTGCTGCCCAGCGCTTCCCCATGATGTATGCCATGGCTTGGCAGAGAACGCAGCTTCCCGGTCATCCTCCAAACACACCTTCGGTTGTGCGCTGAGGTTGGAGGCTGCCTGCGTAGCCCATCCCTGCTTTTGTAAGAGGCTGCGTCACCCAGGCCGAGCAGAGGGTTCCCAGCTCTGACTGAGTACCAGAGGGCAAGGACAACTCAGCACTCCCAGCTTGAGTAACCTGTAACCACCTTGCACCCCTTGAACCTGACAGCAGTGGGCTGTTTCGACAGGGGCACAGCCAGCAGATGGAGGGAAGGGATTGTTTCCCTTGTCCTGGCACTTACTAGACTGCATACAGAGTACTGCAGGCAGTTTTGCTCCCCCCCAGTGCAAGAAGGATACGAATCGGCTGAAGTGGTCCAGTGGAGACCCACCAAGATGGTAGGAGGCTGGCACATGTGATTATGAGAAAAGTGTGAGGGAACTGGGCTTGCTCAGCCTGGAGAAGGGAAGGCTGCGGTTAATCCATGGAAAAAAGTTTCCCCATGAGGACAGGGAGGCGGCGGAGCAGGTTGCCCAATGAGGTTGTGCAGGCCAGAGCCTTGGGGGTTTTGGGGACCTGACTGCAGAAAACCCTGAGCTGCCTAGTCTGATCCCAGAGGTGGCCCTGCTTGGGGCAGGGGGTTGGACTGGAGACCTCCTGAGCTGCCACCTAACCCAAGTGATTCTCCGGGAGGCTCAGGTTCTCCTACAACTGGAGGTACATGGCTGTGTCTTTTTCTGTCTGAGGCACAACCTTAAAACAAAATTCACCTGCAGATTTCAATTCTTAACTTACAATATATGAAAAGAATTTGTACCAATGCTTTCTAAAATGGTTGTTTCACATTTTCTTTGTTCTTTAAGAAAGCATTTACTGAATTAGTCTGTCTTTAAACACCTCCTTGTAGAGTGCTATCACAGTCCAAACGGTCCATCCCATAACAGCTCCTCCTGGCCAAACCAAACAGACTTAAAGAAGTCCCATCTCTCTCTTAGCAGTCTGCCATGCCTCTGACTACTGAATATGTTAAATAATTCAGTAAATGAATGTTACAACATAGCTCTTGTTATCTGAGGTTGAGAAAACATCAGAGTACAGCAGGCTGGGAAAGTGCTCCGTGATACTAGAGACGTTTTCCACACTGTACGACTTCAGCAAAGAATATCCATTGAAAAGCGAGGTATCCAGAAAAGAAATATATACAAGCATTTGCCTGTCTTTGTTGTGCACTGCAAGTGAGTCTTCTTTTTCATTGTTGCTGCTGCTGTAGATGGTTACACTCTGCTCTGGAAGTCGTCCCTTGACCTTGTTTACCCGGAGCTTTCGAAGTCCCCAAATGGCCAAGTATTCTGTTGGGAGAGGAGTGGTGCCACAGAAGGACAGCTTCAAATCCCACACCCTTGTGAAGTTGAGGAGCATCTCCAGCACAGAGGTGTCTGTGAACCAAATGGTCAGGTGGCTATTGTAGGTAGTTTTTTCCATGGTAGAAGGCAGCACCGTTTTGCAGTTGCACATCAAGTTTGCCAGGCAGTAATCACAATCACGGATATCCGCCGAGCAGCTGCAGTTGCGAATTGTGTTTTCCTTAGTGAAAATTAGCGTATGGTTCTTCTGACTTCTCACAAAACTGCCAGTGATGTCTATGCCAAGGAAGCCAGCCAAAACGAGAGCCAGCCAAAAGGAGAAAGCAGAGAAGGCTATTGGCTTCATTAGTACTGGTGCCAAGCCACCAAGCGTCTCCTCCTTTTACTCAGTGAATTATATCACTTGGCTTTACCTACTGAGGAAAAACAATTTCTTTATTATACTAAAGACCACTCAACAGTTAATATTACTTTGCTTTTCCCACTCATTATCTGTCTCATCTATTCAGAACCATATTGCAGTTTTTCAGGTTGCCCTGCATTAGAGGGGAAGCACAGCTACACTGATTCAGAAAAATGAATTGTGACTCATGTTTGGGATTCTTCTTTCACTTCTCTTTTGCTCTAAATGGTTTCATCTGCTTATGGGACAGCTTGGACACCCTCTTCTCTGTCCAGGCTAGACATTACCACCATATCCTTTCCAGGAATGAGATCTTTAGCTTGTGATAGACAGTTGCATGAAAACATGAGCTCATTGCTTAACAGCAGTCAAAAAGTAATTGAATTGTTAAGATGTAATAGCAAAATGATGGGAAAAAAAGAGACGGTGCTGTTGAGCTACTGCATAAATCACTTGTTTGCTGACACTTGCCTGCTGTGTGCAGTTCAGATCCCACCATTTCAGAAAGGATACCACAGGACCGGAGTTCAGAGAAGAGCAACAAGAGTGACGAG